CCATAGCTCCTGCCCTTACCTCCAAGGATGTTCTAAGCAGCAGCTCAACTGGGTGATGTTCTTCCAGCTGCCAGCAGCAGACTGCTGCTTCAGCCTTGAGGGTCTGAGCTAAAATGGAGGCCACTCAGGTCTCTCCTCCAATCACAGGGCTCTCCTACAGCGGCTGGCTGCTCTCAGCCCTTAAGGTGGCAGGCACCAAAGGTACTCTACCACACAGTCCATACAAAAAAACGCCTTCTGACACTAAATGAAGATCTGGGCTTCAGAATCAGGCTCCCTGGCCTAGCAATAGCACACACAAAACTTGATCAAAGATGCAATGAATCAGTACATTTTCAGAGTGAAGAGCTAGACTGTGCACCACCAAAAGCAATACGATTTTTCCTACTGGCTTGTATAGGACCAAGATTGAGCCCTGAGTGCATGTCACCTATTGCTATTAATGGAAACTGGATGCTTAGATGACTGCCACTCATGCACATGACTGAGTAATTTCAGTATACTGAATGTTCCTTCTAAGGATTTTATTAGAGGCATGGTAGTATGTGTCTCACACCAGAAAGAATCACCCTTAGCATGTTATCCTTATTCTACTTACTTATTGAACAGATGAATAATGAGACACGGTCAATTTTATAGCTGGAAAATAGCCCCTGCACCCCGCTCTGTGGAACAGATTTGATAGCATCATGTTTAATCTGTATGATCTGTTATTAACAGCACGATGTTTAAAAGAGCAGCTGCAGACTATGTGATTTTTAATCTGCATGATTTGTGCTTAAGAAGACATTCAGAAGTGGGCTAGAATGAAAAAAAGTTACTGCTCTGTGAGGCCTTTTGTTTCTTAGAAGGCAGGGGGCTCTTTTGGGAAGGCTATCAAAGATACTATCAACATCAAGCTGTGTTACATACAGCTTGACTTGTAATACTACTTCTCCTGGAAGATGGTGTTTATTTACCCAGATTATCCAATGAATTCCTCAAGAAGTTGAGGTGTGTGGTGGGGAGGGGGTTACCTGCTTTAAGAAAACCACTTTTCTGAATGTTCTAGGGATACCAGATTGTATCACAGTTGCAAGTGATTTCTTTTGATAAGTTGTTTGCAAGAACCAGAAAGGTGAGGATACAAAGCTATTAAAGGATTTATTACGAATGGAATCTTCCTCCCCTGTTAACTAAAATGATACAGATGCAATTACGCAGCTACCATAGTCCATTCCCAAACTGGCTGCTCAATGGTGGATGCAATGACTGCTGTATTACGTTTTAAAAGAGTTTTCTAGGAGGAAAGGAAATAGCTGAACATAGTATATTTATTTATTATTAAATAATCTAAGACCTCAATGCAATGAAGATTTACCAAAAGAAAACATCCTTCAGAATATTTTAAAAAATCCTATCAAATCTGATTTACAAACAGCATACTTAACTTGTTTGCAGTATTTTTTTCCTGATTGTTGAAAACAGCAGAGACACTTGACCCACAACTGCCCAGAGTTCCTTCTGAAGGAACTTCAACAATCTGGGGACTTTCTTTTTAATTTGATACCTTTTCTAGAGACAGGAAGGAATAAACCTTGAGCCGAACCCCCCACCCTTGGACCCAAGCTTTAAATCCAAGTCTGATTTGCTTCCCAGATTTATTGGTTGGGTCTATCTCTGTTCTTGTTTGTTGTTGGCCAAAGTCTACAACCATTTCTAATGAACAGACAGAAAAAGCCCAAAAGTTCCCATTGAGCGTAAAAATCTGTGTTTACTCCTAGAATTTCAGAGACCAAAGTATGCAGGGTTGACTTCTAATCCTAGCTAAAGGTGAGGTGCCAGGGAAAGAAGGAAGCTGCTTAGGCAGCTAGAAAAATCCTTAGCAGGAAGCAAGCCTATATATAGCTTCTAAGTATGTGCAAAAGCATTGCTTAACATGCATGCCTTGATTCCAAAAAGCTTCAATTTAAGCTGAGAATTTACCTGGGGCAGTAATATTGTGTGCCCAAAGGGAATGTTAAACATAAAACCTCATGTCTTAAGTAACTTTTTATTCTAACAAAGTTGTGTGCATGCATTTTTATGAGGCACATTGTGATCTTACTTATGGAGACTAAAATGGAACCAACATTACATATCCTCATGACAGTATCATGAAATCAAAATGTGCCAGGAGTTGCAGATGAATACACCAGAAACAACCAGGGTAGAAGATATTGCTATTGCCAGGCATGTGACTATGAACATATACCACATTCTCTTTCTGGATAAAAGCTCAGTATAATCTAGAAAGATTGATATCTCTGTTGTCTTCACACTTTTACCATACTGGACTTTACTGTACTGGACTTTGTTTAAAAGTCTGGACTTTGCTGTACTGGAATTTACTGTACTGCCCTATTACTGTACTGGACTTGTTTAAAAGAATATGATACCAAATGCAAGCCAAAAACCCTACCTATAGAAGTCCATTCATTTGCAGTTAAGATTTCTTAAAAGCCAGAAGAAACAGAAACTGCAAACACTTCTCCAGATCCAGTCCCACAGTAGTAGTTTTCTTCCACTGATCTCAAGGAAAGGATGCTAGCAATCATTGTATGTTATGTTGCCACCACGACAGGTGACAAGCTGGGTTTCCCCAAATTTTTGGCACGTAGAACACTTCACATGGCCTAATTAGTGCAATTCACAGATGCAACTGCTTGAGACTGATCAGTAAAGGATAAAAAAAGTGAATAAAGGATTAGAACAGCTACCATGGGTTAGCTTTCATCAACCACAGTGTTGACCCACTAAAGTGAATTCATATTAGAAATACACCAAAGTTGACAGGGTAAGCAAGTACAGCCCCTAGTCTACTATGTTTGAGAAAGCCCATTTGGCTAACAACAAAACACACAATGGAGAAAAGTTAGGCTTCTGTTACCAAATGATTTCCACTGGAACTGTGGATTTGAACTTATTTCAAGCTCTGCCTGGATGCACCTACATAAGACATTTACTGTGGAGCTGCCCAAACAGCTCCACTGTAAAGTCTCAGTGTCTATATGTGCAGTCCTATTAGGCTGCAGTAAAATAATAAACACTGCCACAGGTTAGCCCTTTTCAACGTAAGTACTATTAAATGGTGGCATTACTTAGTGTACCACAACACATGTGCAGATGCCGAAAGTGCTGGCTGGTGCTCAAGGTTGCTTCAGTGCAGGGGCTCCCTGCCAGCTACCTCCACGCTGGAGCACCCTTGTGCCCCAACCAGCCCCACTGCAGCATGTTGAGCCAGGTCAGACCAGCCTTGGGCTGGCAGGCTGACCCCCAAATCACCTGCCAGCTGGGGCTGCTCTGACCCAGATCAATGTGCTGCAGTCCTATGTGCATGTATAAATGTGGCACCTGGCATGAAATGCACTGGAATTCATTCAATCACATTAATAGCATGTGTAGATGACCCACTTTTATGTGGAAGTCAAACATTACCCCTCTTTCAACAGCTATAGGGCTAAAGATAAATAAGTGCAGCAAGAAAAAACATTTTTGAAGAGTGGAGCTCTAAATCATCCATGTTTCTAATAATTATCAATTTTATTTAGCATTTATAAAGCAAGGCACAAATGTACAAAAACTGTGTATATTAAATCAAGCCATTTTCTTACATATATATATATATTTATATGTATATGTACACAATGTCACAATATAAAATGTGCTAAGACACTGTAATAGCACAACACTAACAGAGTTAGGAATAATCTGTGTAGGAGCTACAAATTCAGTTTGTCTGAACATACATTTGTTTGTGCTTCACCTGAAGGAACTGATTTATATGCACATACACCAAAAAAAAAAATCGAGCCACTGTCTTTTATTATTCACTCACAGAGATCAACGTTTGTTGCTAACAAGCTGTGGAAGGAGCAGCAGGCAGTAGACCAGCACCCAGAGGAAAACAATGAAGTAAAACAACTCGGGTTGGTCTACACACACAGAATTTGGAGGTGGACCCACAGTCTCCAGAGGTTCCTTTGACTCTAAGTCTTTCTTCTTCCTGCAAAATTGAATGTAAGAGAGGTTGGGAAGGGGAAGGGAAATAGGGGATGGACTGAAGCTGTTGCTAGAAAAGTTGGGCCAAACTCTAATGAGACAATAGTTCAATGAAGTATTTACAATCTGGTCAGCTGAGAGCAAGCCAGATCTGTGAGGCACAAAAAGGGGCTTAGCAGTATCACTCGTCAGGACCCAACAGACACAGCTCTTTTAAACCTCTGCAAACCAGGGACAGATTCTCAGGTAGCATAAATCAACAAAAGCTCCACTGAAGTCATTTGAATGATGGCTTTTTACACCAGTTGAGGATGTAGCTCTTTATTTTCAGCTGTGCACAGCTCTGTGAGCAATGTCCAAGTATTGGTTTATTATTAAATACAAAATTATTTTTTTCAAAAATGAGGAGCCATATGGGCTGTTCAGGTGGTATGTGAAGAGGACTGGATTTGTAGAAGGATGGTGAGCAACATGACTAATCAGGACTTATTATTTAATATTTCTCAAACTGGGCACTCAAACTTGACTAATCATTTCCAGAAGTCCTGCTCAAAGTTCTTAAACATTTGAGCGCAGTCTCAAGGACTCCCCATTTAACAGAAACAACTCCAAAACTGCAAATTTAATTCAACTCAGGAGATTTCACATAGATCATGATTGTTTCATTCATACCGGGTGCATCTACACAGTGCCATTGTTACTGCGCCATCATTTAGTACTTCCAAAAGGAAGTACTAAAGGACGATGCAGTAACAGCCCATATTGAGCTGCCCGTGATGTGCATGATTATTTTTAGTTGCTATATTGCTGTAGTGATGTGCTAAACTGAGGGAGTGCGTCACTACAGCAACACAGATGTGGTGTCTTGGTTTTTGCCCACTGATGCTATGTCGCTGTAGTGCAGGGGTGGGCAATTATTTCAGGCAGAGGGCCGCTTACCCAGTTTTGGCAAACTGTTGAGGGCTGCATGGGTAGCCCTGCCCCTTGACAGGTGCCCTGCCCCTGGTCACCATCTTGGGACCAATGTCTCAAGGCCAGTGCTGGTGGGGCCCAGAGCGGGGTGCAGGCTGGCAGGGGTCTGTGAAGTCGAGCTGGGCTGCACCAGCAGAGAGAGGGGGGAGCTGGCCCAGCTCCATAGAGCCTCCGCTGGCTGGTACCCTGCACTCCTGCCACCCTGCTCTGCTCCCCGCCAGCGCTGGCTCTGGGGCACCAGTGTGGGCCCCATGTTCCTGCTCACTCCCAGTGCCCCCCCAACCCTGCAGTACAGGCCAGGGGCAGCGTGCAGCCCCGACATCCTGCTGCACTGCAGCGAATGACCTGGTGCTGAGTGTGGCAAAAAGCGCCGCCCAGTGCTCCCTGCTGCAATCACTCGCAGCCTGCACGGGGCTGTCCTGAGCAGGCACGGGCAGGGGCCAGGGTGGAGAGGCAGCAGATGTTTGCAGCTGGCCCAGGTTCTGGGTAGCTGCTGACAGCTACAGAGACTGGTTTGAGGGGCAGAGGCTTTGGGTGGGTGCCAAGGGGCAGAAGGGCAGGGTGGCAAGGGGTAGCAGGGCTGGGGAGCAGGAGCTTTGGATGGGGGGCAAGGGCAGCAGGGCTGGGGGGCGGGGCACAAGCAGGGCATCCTGCCATGTACCCCCTTCCCTCATTTTGTTTTGAGCAGGCACAGGTAGCCCCAGGCGGGCTGCGAGCAGCTGCAGCGTGGGGTGCTGGCCATGGGGCAGGCAAGGGGCCGCTTTTCCCACATTCATCACCAGCTTTTAACCTGCCCCCGCCCTGCTGCCAGCCTGGGCCCCGCGCCGGCTCTGGGCTCACCCGTTGGCGCTGGACAGTGTTTGCCACCGCTGCCCCTGGGCTGCTCAGCATGTGAGCTCCGGGCAGGCAGCAGCAGCAAACAGTGCCTGGTGCGGCAAATGGGGGGGCCGCAGCTGCTGCCACTGTGCGCAGCCCCGACTGGAGAGCATGGAGCCAGCGTGGGGCCCAGGCTGGCAGCTGGGCCGGGTTACAAGCTGGTGCTGAGTGCCGGAAAAGGCCTGCCCCGTGGCCTGAGCCCCGCGCTGCAGCTGCTCGCAGCCCACCTGGGGCTGCCTGTGCCTGCTCAGGACAGCCCCACGCAGGCTGCAAGCGGCTGCAGCAGGGAGCACCGGCCATGGCATGGGGGAGGGTCCACTTTTCCCCGAGCTGCTTTACCCTGGGCTCCTTCCCTGCCTGGGGTCCTCCCCCGCCTTCCCTCACCCCCCGCACTTTACCTGAGGTTCCTGCATGGGGCAGCCACATGGTCCCAGGCCAGAAGCCCTTACTGGGGCTTCCAGCTGGGGGGGGGCGGAGCCAGGCAGGCCCTCCAGTTGTGGGAGCCCGCCAGGCTTCCCCGGGGTCCTACTGCTCCTGGTTTCTGTCATTTTTGACAGGAACCAAAGACAGAGAAATATTAATTTTCTAAAATTTTTAGGGGCCCTGTGGGCCAGACAGAATGGCCTTGTGGGCCACATCCGGCCCGCAGACCTTATTTTGCTCCGCCTGCTGTAGCGTGTTGCTACAGTGATGCAACGTCACGTGTAGACAGGCACACTGAGGTGAAGCCTTCCACCCTTCAGGGAATTATAACAGTAGGAAAACTGTGTGATGATATATGGCCCTACCCCATCCACACTTTGCAATGAGATGATATGCATGCCTTCTGATATTATTTTTTCTAAATGTTACCTTCAGATAAACTGGCTAGATTTTTCAATGGGATGAAATTTATTCTCACACTTTGTTTTGCTTGGAAGTCACTTTATACATTTGCTTTAAGCCCTCTTACTGGAAATCTCACTAGAGATCTCAGACAGCAAGTTTTACACAAAACGTTAGCAGAAAGACATCACACTAACAAATTATATACACAGTTTTCAAAAGATAAAGCACTATCCATGATATAAGTTGGACCAGGACATTGCTGTCTCCAATAGCATTTTTGTATGTTTTTCATAATGAATTCCAGCCATCACAGTGATTATGAACCAAAGCCTGATTCTACTAAATGTCTGTTGACATAAGTTGGAAGAAGTGGCCATGGGTGTTTAAACTTGTTTTTGATGCAGTTAAAGAAAAGCTGGTTCAGAAAGGATCCAAGCTCTCTGAACTGCATCATAAATTCAATATCTGACTTAGTTTGGGGCCCCTGGAGGCAGTCAAAGACTGAACTTACCCTGCATGAAAGTTAAAGCAGACCTGTGGTGGCTGCTCTATCACCAGGTCTTATTCACACTGTAGTTGCACCACTGTAAAATAACACTTGCGTATACAAGGTCATATGCGAGAACAGGATTTGAGAGGCCACTAGCTAAAATCCCCACAACATGTATTTAAACTCCACCGTCTTCTTTGCTATGACATATCTCACCAAGATTATACCTACACTTATGTACATGGCTGGCCTTAAGGTTACCTTCACTAACCCAAGTTACATAAGCTGCCCTTCCCTGTTTATGTCATACTGCGTAGGACACAGAAGAGCTATCATAGTTTCATAGTAGCTAGGGTCAGGAGGGACCTGAACAGATCATCTAGCCTGACCCCCTGCCACATCTCACCAGGCTGAGTACAACTGATCCACCACTACTCTCCGGGTGCGCCCCATCAGCCAATTTTTTACCCATCCAACTGTGCAGGCATCAATGCCACAGTCACTTAATTTATTGATGAGGATGTGGTGAGAGACAGCGTCAAAGGCCTTCTTAAAGTCTAGAAACACTACGTCCACGGCGACACCATCATCCAAGGATTTAGTCACCTGGTCATAAAAGGCAACCAGGTTGGTCAGGCAGGACCTGCCTTTGATGAACCCATGCATCCACATTGTGCTGTTTACATGCAAAGCATATTCTAGAAATCTGGCTGTAACTATGTCTCCTTCCTTCTGCATGTGAGTCTACTTATAGGTAGTAGAGATAGCAAGTAAAGATAGGAGGGCTGGAAGTCAGGAATAAGGAACTGTAGAGTTGCTGCTGGCAGACTTCCTATGCTTACAGCCTGCACACCAGAATCAGTTCCACACACACTGCAGAAAGAGGTAGGCTAGGAGGCGAGTGGTCCAGAGTCAACCTGATACCTGGGCATTTAGCTGTGCTTTCAGGATTAGGCTCAACTACCAGTAGAGATTGAGCCTGGGCAATACAATATAGATGGCTGAAGGGGTTAGGCTTTAAGGTGACCTTAAGATTGATTCTAACTATCACTGTAGACGCAGCATAAGCACAGTGCATGCATATCTCCTAGCAGAATGCTCACTCATCTAATTAAGGTAGTTTTATATTGTCTTTACTTTTTGCAAAAGCTAATTAGAGAATGTTAAAGATACAGCACTTCAAAGCCAATAGCTAGCAAATTCATATGTGAGAGGAACTGTATTGAATCCAGTTCTGTACAGCTGTAAAATGCTGATAGATTTGACTTTGAACTCCTGTAAGAAAGCCCAGAGATCATGGGTTGCATATGACAGATTCACTATAGAAAAGGCAATCACCCACCTGGTGATAACCAGATCTGTGCTTTCTCCTGAATCTGTGTTCTTCTCTTCATGTTGGCTAACAAGTTCCTAGAATGACATAGTTTGTAAAGAAAACAAAACCATTAAAGAGATCTTGGCTGTTTGTAGACTGTGCTCAGCATTTTCTAAACCTTGTTAACTGACTCGCATCAAATTTCAATTTGAATTGAGGGTTAAGAGATGATCATTGACAGCCCCTAACAGACCCAATTCTCAGTTTTCTGTGTGAGAGCTTATGCTGTTGGAAATCATTAGAAGGCTTATAATAAACCTGTGTAAGCACTGCTATATTGTTGCAGTTAGCTTAAGTGCTGTGCAATTGACCTGATACTTAATCACCATGATGAGTTGTTGGTACATTTGATTTTCTAAAGGCGTTACTTTATGAAGCCTGATAGGCTCTGTTGTGTTGCAAAAACCCAAATGAGTTTCCCTTGAGGGGATTGATATTTGCAATGCTTATCTGCTTATCTGAGTTCCTAAGGTCTATTTCTCCTTAAAAGCAAGGTGGTACATACATGTTAATCAATACAATTTAACTTGCCTAATTTGGACTGCCCTAGTCTGCATTAAATTTAATCCTCATTCAATTTGGATTAGTTAATTTGGACTGAAGCCAATTTTAATTTGGACTACAGACATCCACGTATATATAGTGACAGCTGTAGTCTGGATTAAACCTAGAACAATGTAATGTCTATAAACATCCCTTATTACTAAACTATGAAGACAAGGTTAATGGTTGACCCAAGCCCAGCAGACCATTTGGTTAGTATAGCTAAGGCACACCAGTTTTGGCCAACAGCCAATACAGGATTGATGCAGTAAAGTCAACTGGTCAACTTTGACTTCCCACCCCAAATAATCAGGTACAATTTACAGTTGGGCTGATTAGCTGTAGCCTTTGGCCCAACCCAAGGATGAGTCTTGAACTCATGTCTCTGGAATCACTGTGAGACTCTCTAGCCAGTTTATCACTATACCCAATAAAGACAACAGTTTGAACTTAATTTCCATGTATAATTTTTTCCCCTAAATTCTGCTTAAACCATTTTCTAAATCAATAGCCCTTGAAAGATCAAGTATTGACAGGAATACTGTCCATTACAGCAGTAGCATTATACAACAGCCACTAGACAGTTGAGGCAAAGGGCTCAGTCCTAGAATGTACTGAGTGCCTTCACAATTTTTGTAGGACTGTATCTTAAATGAGATGGTGTGTGGCTACTATACATGACTATAGAACAGGCAACATCTTCCTTCTCATTTACTGAAAGGAGAAAAGGAAAACACAGAACTAAAGGAAATTTGCTCTGCAAGAATACTGACTTCAGTAAAAGTGAAACGCCAGCACAATAGAAACAAAACAAGCCTCAAAATTATAATTTATATACAACCATGATTAGATTTTTTTTGTAGATGTATTTAACCATATAAGGGCTCTTAAAAAAATTCTAGTCTTACTTTAGCTTTTACTTATTTCTTTAGTCTTAGGGCAAAAAACAGAATTTTTATGACTTTCATTTAATCCACAGAATTGTGTTTGTGTGTCATGTAGTATTATACTATTTGAGACATGGGATTTACAGAGAAAATGAGCAGTATGTATGAGCAGCTATATATGTTTTTTATTTTATTTATGTGTGTATGTATAAACATACATACACTCACAGAGAAAGAAAGGGAATATATATATATATAAAGAGAATATATAAGGGAATATACATATAGTCTATATATATATTTCCATAGACTAACCTTTTCAGTGGAATTAGGAATCTGTTTTCGGAGGTAAACACTGGAATCATTGCAGCTTGTTCTGAGAAGTAAATAAAAATACCTTTAATGCACAGAGAAAAAATGTTCACAGGGATTCAAAAAAAGCCATGAAATTCAAATATTTATTATATACATTTAAAACCTCTGGGTAAAAATTGAACAGTTGTTTTTTATATCATTTTGAGTCATTTCTGAAGAGCAATATATTGATAGGTGTTTAAGGTACAAAAATCATGTGAGACTGCAGTAAGAATATATTCCCAAATGATTAGCATATTGCTGTGTTATTTTTAAATTTATATAATAAAATAAATGGTAATAGTTAATAGTGCAAAAGAAAGCGGGGATAACTTAGATAAGAAGATTCTATAAGCAGAATTCTTCTGGGTCTGAAGGAGCTCTGCAACTACAGTTTTTACCATGATTGTAGGCATATCTGATCTCTAAGAAGTCAGGATGAAATACCTGGAAAATTCTTGATAATCAATGATTTCTTCTAATTTATCTAGTACTGAAGTAATCCCAGGTTTTAAGGTTTGAAAGCTTTCTGCTTGAACAACATTCTTCTTTTTTTCCTTCCTTTTACTGTTTTTTTCTGGTTTCATCACTGTTGTTGATATGTTATCCAATTGGTCTACAGTGAACTATTTAGAAAAGGAAAAAACTTTTTTATCAGATGGTAACAGGATTAATGCAGCTTTACCATACTGTTACTGTTTGTAATAATAAACTCCAAGTAGTGCATCCAACATTAAAAAAAAAGTCCTTAGTAAAAAGTTGTTGCTTGAATATTGTGTTGGACCACACAGAGTTATACTATGTTATCAATTTATCAGAAATTAATCTTCCCATTGCCTTCAAAAGACGTTGTTTGCACAAGAAATCTTAGCCCACCCTGCATCATGGAAAAGATCATTTCAGGTTTTTCTAGCAACCAGCCTTCTATCTATAATAGTTTAGTCTGCTTATAAGGATTCAATTCTGCAAACACACACTTGAATAAAAATTTGTCCAAGAAGGAAAATTCTACTGGTATAAGCAAAAGACCAGAGACAGAGCTGGTCAGTCAGCCTGCTATGGTTTCAGAATTACAGAGTTTGAGCTTTCCTCCTGAACTGGGCTAAAGACCATCCCCAGTTAACTTAGAAGTAAAAGGGTGCCCCATTTTGGCTGGAGAGGTAGAGGCAGCTGGATGTGAATGGTGGGCACATCACTTACACATCAGTAAACAAACTAACAAAAAATACCTAAATAAAACAGAAAAAACCCCACTCTCCTTCTAACATATTGGTTTATCTATATACTAGGACAAATGGTACAATTTTTCTAGGTAGAGAAACTTTAATTTGATTTAACTTAATGCAGGAATTGTCTTCACTTGTATGCATTGCATGTAAAAGTTGCATCACCTTGAAGACAACCCCATAGCAGAAAGGTCAGAGATACAGTCACAGAGCAAGCCTATGGCTTGTATAAAGGTATCTAAAATTTATGTCTGTAGTAGTATTAGGGCTTATATTCATTGTGGCCTACAGCTCCTAACAAGTCTGTGATCATCACACATTCCATCCACCAGAGGGCAATGATAAATAATGTTAGGGGAGAACAGGCCTAGCAGAGCTCTCCAAAGCATTTCTACTACAAAGTAAAAGGTATCATGGCCAGATTCTAACACCCTAATATGTGCAGACGTGGACTCCTAGAATTTAAAAATCAAGAAATGTACCTCAGGATTTTCTGGAACTGCAGTTTCTTGAGGGCTTGTGGATTCATTGCCATCTTCTTCAACTTCTATTTTCTTTTCTACTACGGTAACCTCTACATTTTCACAGGAGAACTCAGGGCAACTATGACGATCCATTTTGTCCTTCTGCATGTCTTCAGAATCCATTTCTGTTGCAGAGACATCCATGTTGCTTTGCAGACCTGGCTTCAGTGCATCCTGCTCATTATTCTCATGCAAAGAATTTAAAAGCTCAGAAGAAACATGGTTTTTAGAAGCATTAGAATCAAGACAAGGCTCAACAAAAGCTTCTAAAACTGCTGATATAGGGACACTGTAATGTGGATAATAAAAAAGATCATGAGGAATTACAGAAACTTTTGAAGAACTTGGTGATATTTTAGCTTCAGATCTGCCTTCACTACGATTATCTAGATTTCCAGGAACTTTACTCACCAGCGGGGCTGGTTTTCCACATTTGCCAGATGTAGATATTTCTAGCTGGCCTTTGAAATTTAAATCTTTGGATAAATGCTGGATAACTTGTGCTCCCTGAAGAACAGGTAATTGTTCTGAATGTTCATGTGCTTCTTGAAATGTTGATATTTCTTCACTGAGTAGATTCAAAACATGCTGCATATCTTCTTCTTTGGAGGCATTTTCCTCTAGAAGAGTTTCATTTTGGGGTTCCATGTCTCCTTTTAGTTTTTTTGGTTCAGTTGTACGTGTATCTGAAGTCTGAGATAATAGGTTGAAAGAACAACTATCTTTTATTTTGTTAGCTGGCGAGGTCTTAGCTTCATTTGCCTTTCTAGCCAACTGTTCAGAATAGTCTTCAAAAGAATCAGCTGCGTTTTTCTGAACATCCAAAAGATGGTTGTTCTGTTTCAGTGCATGATTGTATGTACCCTCTTCGTTTGGATTCAGTTTATCACTAAGAACATCCCAGGAAGAAATGGGGTCAAAACTGACGGAATCCGTGATCGGCAAAGAGGTAGGCCTCTGAGGTACCTCTCCAGAGGCCAATACTGAGGACTCTTCAGGGGCCCTCTGTGAGTTATCCGATAGTGGTTGATCTGGTTTATCATTAAGTTCTTCATTTGCAATTTCTGGCTGTATTTCCTCCAGCAAATCATGGACACAAACCTTTATAGGAGGAGGCTGGCTCCTTTCATGGTTAACTGTACATGCATGTTCTCCATTTTCATTCAAAATCAAAATCTTGCCTTCCTGTTCTGAAGGAGTGTCTTTAATGTGGACATATGTTGATTCAATGGGTAATTCCTTCTCAAGATCTAAAAAATCTTCCTGCAAAGGATGATAAAACAATAGTCACAACTTACATATCACTTTACATTTTTAAATTGCTATAGCAAGAATAACTAATCAGTCCCAAAGTAGCATCACCCCATGAACTAGCCAAGTAACAACAATCTCCTTTTTAAGTACATGACCTGAATTAAGAAAGGTTAAGTGAACTGTACTAAACCACACAGAAGTCACAGACATGGCCATATTAGAACTGAGAGATCCTAACTCTCAGTCATTAATACAATTCATCTCTCAATGGAGGGATATCTTAAGTATAATATTTGTAGTATCTTGGAGGGATATCTTATTTATAGTATTTTACACACACGCATGGGCTGAAGTAAACCTATAGGTCACATCTAGACAAGCAAAGCCGTGCGGTATGTGGCACTACAGACACGTCTGAGGCACCAAATACAACATGTTCAGCTGTTCTCCATGCTGCAACGGAAGAGCGAAGGGTTTTTTGTTTTTTTTTTGACCCCTGGATATCCTGTGGTCAAAAAAACCCGTGCAAAAAAAAGAAAAAGAAAAAGAAAGCAGAGCAGCACACATGGAGGCCACATGCAATACTCAAAACTGGAGCCTGACCAGCCAGAGCTGTGCTGCAGCTGCCAGCCAGGCTCCAAGGGGGAGGATTGTTGCTGCTGCAGCCCTGGGAGGCTCCCAGGAACCCAGGTCAGGCTACCAGGGCCAGCCCAGTACTAGCTCCATCTTCCCCCAACCCACCCGAGGTAACCTGCCATGTGTTAGCGCGCGCATGGCACAGGCATTCCCTGGGGACAACTAGTGTTGGCACAAGGTCCACTGCCACTAGTTGTCCCCAGGGAACCAAACATCAATGCTTATGTGGACACAGCCATAGAGTTATCAGGAAAGCAGGAAGAAATGGTTTTTTGAATGTCATTCCTCACTCATTATGAAAAGTAATGCATGATCTTTAAAAATGCTATAAAATGCCATCTGCAAAAATAACTGCAACTGGAGATTTTGTTCAATGTAAATGAAAGGAAGTTAGTAGAAAGCAGCATTAACACATGAGCCATTTTTTTTGCATGTTTCTTTGGACAAAACAACCAGAACATCCTACTACTCCTGGGGACTAAGTCTCTTGGAATATCTTTTTCATAGTAAAAAGGAGGATTTTACACTAGTGACAGCCAATGCCCATGGGACGAAAGGTTTGATAAGCCCAGAAATACCCAGCTTGTTAGGACAGCTCTACTAAGTTTATTCCAATTCCTCCTTTGCTCTCATTTTTCTCAACCCTTGTCATGTCTTCAGTCCTTCAATTCCCTTTCCTCTACCTTCAGCAAGCTTTTCCACCTCTCAGCCCCCACATAGATTACTTATCTGTTCTTTCCAATGAATCCCAAACCAGTTCCTTACCTTTGACAAGACCTCAAGTGAAATCCTGGTCACAGTGAAGTCACCTGAAGATTTTTTTTCCACAGACTTCAATAGGGCCAAGATTTCACCTGTGAACGCTTGACTGTAATAACAGCCTGTAGAGCTAAAATAGGCTGTATCTTTCAGTTCTTCTTGGTTTTGAAAGTAGAGAACAATCCAACAAAAACTGTCAAGATGGCTCTAACAATGACTGCCAAGATATCTGAGATTCTGGGAAGGGATTTAGCACAATTACGAACCCTCTTAGGGTCTGGGGCAAGAACAAATCAAGAGATTGTTTACTTGAATGGATATTAACCCTATGAAGTTGGGTTTTGGCTTAAGGTTTGGCCTGATTAGCAACCCCGATGGAAAACCTCAAGGATTTGAGGGGACAAACTTACCTGGAATTGTTAAAAATTAATGTGGGTTTTAACCAACTTGAAATAAAATAGTTTGTAAAGTGAACAAGTGAACAAATATATACTTTTTTTTTTTTTTCCAAAAAGGCCATTGCAAATTCTAAAAATTCCATACTCTAAGAGACAGACATAGACATACCCCTTCTAGCTCTGGGAAATGCTCCAGAAATTGTGCCACATATGTCATGATTGATTGTTCATCAGGTGACTCAACCATTATATCTATGGAGGAAAAACATGAACTGTTTAAATGCTTTAAGAGACTTCCATAGGAATGGGTGATCAGAAATATATTCTACGTATATGATTCAAGGTAGAAATATTCTTATGAAAAGCTATAGGCATTCATTTGCTCTTTTTTTGGACTAGAAAAGGCAGAATCCTCTTTACTACTGATAGACTCTGAGGACGTTTCTAACACTAGAAATGTTTCCAGAAGAAGCAGTACAGGCTCTCTCTACCCTCCTCTTCATGTCTTCCTCAGATCGGTATGATCCCAGTAACTCAAGTGTGAGAAGCAAGTGGGGAGCAGCAGGCAGCAGCTCCTTCCCTGCCTTCCCAGTCTATGAGAGAAGCAGGAGCAGTGTGCCCCCACCCCCCACCCTCTCCAAACTGGGATGACCCCAGTTTGGGGAAGGCACTGGAGCCTTCCTCCCTGCTTGATCCCTTGTGGGACCAGGAGGAAACAAAGAGCTGCTGCTTCCTTCACCTTTCCTAGACCAGAGTGATCCCAGTCTCAGTAAGTTGAAGAGAGCATTTCCCTGCCTCTCAACTTCCCCTGGTCTCCAGAGTTGAAATTTTCCTGCTAGAAACATAACACCTGTATGTGGCCTCTGTCTCCTTCACTTCAACATTTTTGCAGTCTCTAATGTTCTCTGTTGCATCACTGATGCGCACCCTCATTCTGGATTGAATCAGAGGCATGTTGACAAATGTAACAGCAGAATTTTCGTGAAAAGGAAAGGAAAATTAAAATAAATATACAGTAACCTCTTAGCTGTGTTTGTGTAGGATACATTTTTCTTCCCTTGTCTTATTTTTCTGGTTTGCAGTGTAAGCCTTTGGGATGATAATGACTGTGTTCACACAGTTCCCAGCCCAGTGGAGTACAGACTGGAGCCTGAGAGAGTTGTAATATTAATTCATTATTTTGAGAGAGGACATAAGGGTATGTCATGGACCAGAGCCCTATAATGCTAAGATGTTGTACAAATGCAACAGAAAGGCAGTCACACAGAGCCCCAAACAGCTTACAATTTAAAGATAAGATGAGACACAACAGATAGATAGATACAGGCAGGTGAGGGAATAGTAGGAAACAGTATTATTCAGCATGATAGATAGTGGTCTGACCACAGCAACAGCCTAACCATTGCCAAGTATTTTGAACACATAATAAATAATCAGTCACAACTCTTTTATTACAATTTCAAAGATTCACTGAAAGAAATATGATGTGAATGTGTTACCTTCTGGTTCCAGAAGTCTAGGAACACCAAGCACATTTTGTGCTATGCTGAAAGCATCCTCTAAGTTTTCCCTGGCTGATTTCTCCAAAGCTTGTTTTATATCTACCAAGGTGGAATCGATTGCTTTTATTACAGCTAAGAAAGCAAGGCCACTCCGCCAACTGCTGGCAAAGTCCTGAACTGCAACACCATATCTAAATAAAAAGACATACAGATTTAGATCTCTGATTATATTTAATAAAAGCACCATCACCTTCAAATATCTTGAATTATATCAAAGTTATTTGGTTGCAAAACTCACGTCTGAGTTTCTTGGACTTAAAACAGTACAGTGTACTTACAAATAATACAAAGATTCATAAGTTGAGTCAACCATTTGGCTATCAAGGGACATGAATGTGTTTGTAGAAAGCAGTTAGCAAAAAATAAAAACCCTCCAGGATTTAGCAACCATATTTAACATTTACAAAACCAAATGTCTGAATAACTGCTGTTTTTACTGTGCTATAATGTAAGGGAAAGGGGCCAACACATATGTTAAACAGTAATATAAATGAGTCATATTTTTGTATGCTTGGCCTTAAATAACAAAATCAGTGCCATGCAGAATGCAGAAAGAGCCAGTCTATGCATTTGTCAACTTTTGGTTTATGCACAAGTTCTTTGTATATAAAAGTTAAAATGAAATACACCAAAAATAGAGTTCTGTAAAATTTCCTGGTTAAACAGCTAGGACTGAGTTAATATAATTGCACTTTCTTGTTCCTTGTAAATATGCTATAAAACATTTCATTTCCCAACCATTTATTTCCTTCTACCCAGTACTTTTAAGTGGAACTGAAAACATTTTGGCCTTTACTGCGTTAGTTCATTTCCTCCTTAGTGCCCCCCAGTCACTGGCAGTGTCAGCATCATTACAGTGCTGTAAATAGGATTGTTTTATTAACTTGTTTAGCCTCTGTTTGCACTAGTAGCAACCAATCATAAACTGCAACAAGCTACATTCACCTCTGTACAATTCCACTGACTTCCTTAGACAGAGGGAATTAGCTCTGTTTGTCTGAAATCAGGCAGACTGCTCTGCCTTCTGCCTGACTTCTTTGGAGTTATTTCAGGGACGAATGTGAGAGAATGGGCTTAAAGACCTTTCATATTTCAGTGCTGTGCACATAGAATATTTGTACGCACAGGCACAAATCTTTACCCATAAAGCCCTAGAGCAAACATTTGGCCAAAGACCCTGCCATTCAATTTGGATAAGCACATTTTGACCCACTATTGCCTACATAAAGGTGGTTGTTTTCTCTCAACCATTTCTTCTTGGCCCATATATTAAATCTACAACAGGCATTACTTTTACACCAATAACAATTTGATAACAAGTAATTTATTTTTTGGCCTATGAGGGTTGGCCAATGGGGTGGGTCTGGCCTGTGAAAGTCTGAGCTAGCAGGGGGGACTGGAAATCGGTGGAACAGAGTTGTGCCATGCCACTCATCCTCTTCTGTGGAGCCTGCTACTCCACTCCATCTGCACTTAGCCTTGCTGCAGAGAGGATGGGATCAGCAGTAGAGGGAACGCAGGCAGCTGGCTGCTCCAGAAGGTTGTGGAGACTTGCTGCCTGAAGCAGAGGGCTGGGCTGCAAAGATGTCTTGTACCTAAGCTATTTGCCAGTGCCTCTGTTAATTATGCTTAATTTTCAAACATAATCTGCTTTTATGTGTTGAGATACAAAGTTCAAAGCCACATCCAATTTCTCTCAAGGTATAAGGGGGTTTAAATTCACATGTTCGCATTTGGGCACCCCTAATTTTCATAACACATGAAATGGCCATTCCTCTAGAAAGAGAATGCCAATTCTTAAGAATGCATGCAGTGATCCCAAAGGGGAAACAACAACATTCACAATTATCTTAAACACCTGTTCAAACTCTTTATTTAATAGCTGCCTTTTGATCTGCTCAACATATATAACAGATTGCAAACATACCAGGGCAAGGAAAGGTCTTAATATGGGTCCTTTGCAGTGCTACATATGCTGGTGGCAGTTAACTCATAACACCAAAATTGTGAAAAAGGAAAATGGGGCCTGCAGCTCAGCTGCTTCGGGTCAGTCAATTTATATCTGAGGCTCTGGCCTATATTATGCCAAAAGATAAGTAAACTGCTTGCTCTCAGGAAAGCCAAGTTTTACACAACCTGTATTATTGTAGACTCCTCCCACATAAAAAATAATTTTAAATCTTGAGGAAAGAAGGTGGTAAACTGAGAACTTTTCTAAGCTATGGACAAGAAGTTGACTTACTTTCGTGTTTTTCTCTGGACCCAGGTCAAAAGGGCTCTGATTGTTTTTCGCTGATCCTTCACTGTGACAGACATGCTCCTCTCTACGTTTGGAGTGCTAGGGTAAGAGGTGTCTGAGTCAGCTCCACTGGGCCCTGATGACAGGCTGGAAGAGGATGAGTTCCTGTTGAGGTTTCCTGTAAGTTCCTTAATCTGTAAGGAACGAGGTAAAACGCAAGGTACTTAAATTTGGGAAAAGAAGTCAAAACAAACCTAAATCCTGTTTTCAGGAAAACTAATAGTGGTATTTCCTTTAAGATGATAGCCTTAAAACACCTTTAAAAGGTCTAATTATAGGCCTGTGCATTAAGGTAATACAGACCATAATAGCCCTAAAAATCAGCACCCTGAATGGTGGTCTCATGCCAAAGAAGGGGGGGGAACAATGTAGTTCTGGGTTCTTCATGTCCCCCTTCTCTACTGTGGGCCCCACTGTTAGGTGGGCTACATCACCTGGATTTTCTCTCTGTGCCTGAGCTGCTGACCTGCAACCCACAATACTCTGATATAGAGTGTAATGACAATACGTCTTGGGAGTCTTGCTTCTAGAGCAGTAGTCCAACGCTAGAGGTGATCAGAGCTGTTTGGGGAATGAAGGGCAAGCATCACACTGCCCTCTGAGTTCTATAAACAAGAGAAAGGCACTCTCTATTCATTAGACTTCAGTGAAGCTTTCTTTCAAGAAACAGCATATTCATTTTACATACAGGTTAGAAATGGGTTGAGAAGATGGTATTGAGATCTGACTCAGGTTTGGAACAAAGCTGACAATTCAGATTTATCACCTCCAACAGTATCATGCTATTCTCACAATAGTTAGTCCCAGAGCAGAGCACGCCTATGCCAGGGGAGCTGCCAACACACAGGGAGGCGTCAGCAGTGGCTCTTTTTGTGCCCTCCACAAAGGCAATGCCCAGGGTTTCTGCTCCATTTGCCCCTACCACTCCATTATGCTACCGGTTTGGCCCCAGACAGAAACCTAAGCTTGTGAAATTCTACTTCCTGAATCACTGAATTCTGGTGAAATGGCCTGTCCTTTTTTGCCACATCCATCACCTTCCCTTTCCCTCTCCCCAGCCTCCAAAAGCCCAAAACCGTTAACCCTGCTTCTCCTGGCTAAGCTGGGCTAAGTACAAACAGTCAAAAAGCCTGAGGTGGAATCAATTCAGACTTTGCAGGTTAGTCTAAGATGCAGAGATTAAATTGAGAAACAACTGGGCACACATTTACTTTTGATTCAGGAAATGCAGCCACATGCCTGCAGTGGCTCAGGCCAGAAGCCAGGGGGCAATAGAGCACACCTCTCTGGCATGTAGTCAGCATAGGCTGTGTACTGCTCCCAAGGTCTCTGGGATTTACAGTCCAGAACCACAGCAGCAGGAGTCTGCGGGGCTGCTCATCATTTCCTGTTCCTGCTTCCAGGTACCTCTGAGATTTGTAGTCTAGTCCACAGTTGCAGCCAACAGTAAGTTTCAGTAAGTTTAGGAGTAGGGCAGCTCTGTACTCAGGGGAAGGTAGGTTTAACCCCCCTCCTTGGCCCCAGACACAGCCAGGCTTTGCCTGGGTGGGGGGGAAGAAGTCCCCCCCTCCTGCCCCCCCCCCAGCCCTTCTCTGCTGGAGAAGACAGCACAGCACAGCAAAGCTCAGCCCAAGGCTGAAAAGCATGTTGGGATGCTGGAGGACTGTGTTTTAACTTGAACCAGGAAGGGGGTCTGGCACAGAAGTTTCATAAACTGGTTTCACACAAATTAGTTAAATCTGATACTACATTCAGCCAGATTTATCTTAAACCAGTTTCAGCCATTTTGAAACTGGTTTATGTGCACTGAGCTTCTGTTCTGTTACAGGCTTAAACCAGTTTCTGATCAATTAAACCGATTTACATATAGCTTCTGTCCCTAGTCCTGGACACAGTCCTATTGGTGTTGATTCACATCCAGAGAATTTGGACTAGAGCCCCAAGCAGCTAGAAGGGGAGAACAAGCAGAAATTTTAGTTGAGCTAGCATCAGAAATTCATGTAGGCCTAAGCTTCCTTTATACCACAGTAACTCCACTGAAATTAACAGAATTATATCATTGTAATGGGGTAGATGAGGTGAAGATCAAGCCCATTCTGCATTATTTCTGTTCTTTATGTATTTTGCTTCAGCTGACCAATTTCAAGGAGTAGTTCACTTAGTATTACACTTAAGTATTTTTACCTGAAAGAACAAGATTATATTCCATATTAGCCCCAGTACCAGAGATGAATTTCCATCCGCTATTTCTGCTGCATCGATGCTAACCAGTTTTACCTGCAGAAAAGTAGGTTATAAGCTTAAGGGGATGTATAAATATGGATTACATGAGAAACACAGTGTAAATGTAGAAAGTACATCGGGTCAAATCCAGATAATTGCACACATACACTACCCTTCTGTCACAGGCAACCAACAACTCTGAAATTCTCTAATAACATTTTTCCTTGTTTGCTTAAGTTTATTTTTAACCTGCCTCAAAGGGAGCAAAAAACTGAGTCTGAAGTTTGCCGAAGGCACTCCTTGGAGGCATCTGACATAAAATCATTACCAGGAAAATGATTACAAGTTAGGAAGCACATGGAACATAGTTTTTCTAGCTCACACCTTCCTCGCAAGACTGCTTGGGGAGCTTTGCACCATTCTATTTCTGCTTTGCACATTTCTCTGGTTGGCAGGAAATCTGCTCTTTTTGTGCTTCCTATTTCTTGCCAGCCCAACTAAGGAATGAGGATTATAAATATAGCCATTACAATGAATTCCAGAGCTGAGCCCACCCTTGGATTTCAAAACCAGGGACTACCAAGAGCCAAACCATCTCTCACTATAAAGACAACAGGGAATTTCAGCCTACCCTATACAGGGAATAGCCATAGTCATCAAAACAGATATAAACCCAGCGCTGCTTCCTTGAGACCACTTCCTCTTCCTCAGTATCTCCTTCCCTGTAATAAGGGTGTTTCCTTCATACAGTCATGGAACAGGATGATGCTGAAGCCACTTATCAGTCACAGACAGTGAGTATATACCCCATTACACCTTTCCCATTTATTCTGAGGAACGAGAGCACTGCACAGTTCAGAGCTGGGCTGAAATAAGCTTAAACTTGAGAGGAGGGTAACATGACCTGAAATCATTTTCTGTGCAAAGGAAAATAAAGTTTCCCAGACCCTCAGTTTTCCTTTTAACATGCATCTGCCTTCCCCCTATCTTCCCCTTTCCTTCTCCCTCATGGCTTTTTAAATCACTTGTCACTGATGTCTGACAAGATCAGTTAGCACAGGCTGGGTTTGCCCAATCCAAGCAATCCATAGTTCCCACATTGAGGTTTATTTCGTATGATAACATGAGGATATTATTCCCTTAGACAACACAGGCTTGTTGTTGGCAAAGGAGTGGAGCAGGAAGCAAGGAAGTTGTCAATATTGCAAATGACACTTAGGTTGAGTTAAAGCCCAATATACAGTCTGTATCTACCACTCAGAAATTTCATACATGATGAATCACTTAACAATACTTTGCCCTGCTGCCCCGATTCTACAGAACTCCACTCTGTGACAGGTTCCACCCCATTTGTGGTTTAATATATAAACCTATAGGTCTTGCAGCCAAGGCATTTTGCCAACACTTTCATCACTGACCTTCACTCCCAGTTTAGTTAAATTGAAATGAGATTAAAATAGCCCTTTAACCAATGATTTACTGAAACATTTTCAATCCTAGTAAGATGACACCTCTAGCTGTCATACTTCTAGGTTCTGATTTTCTTTATAGCCACAAAGTAGATCGCTTGGGATAAACTTTTAGGCCTGCTGCACTCCGACAGCAATTTGTCTGTGGAAGCTCTCAACTGGAGTTTATCATTGGGTTGTTTTCAGTATCAGCTGTATTCTGTCACCACCGCTTACATCTGTGGATCCATCCTAGTCTAGACAACACAGGGCAGAAAGATTTTTCACTGCCTTCTCTTCCAGAAACAAGAAATGAAGCCCCAAGTTTGATGGTCAGTTTGGCATTCCTCAGTGAAAAGTCTGAGTGTGCTTCATCCACCTAGATCTGCCCTTAGCTTACATAAGTGGGACACAGACTGTGACATAGCCGGACCCTTGGCAACAAAGCGAGTGTAGAATGTGATGACAGCAGCACGTGTAGAATTTAGTGATATCAGTGTTTGGGTCAACTTGGAAAGACAGGTGTTTGCTGTTTGCTGTTGGGTCTTCACTGGGTTTGGGTGTGAAGTGTCATGGGGGAAGGTTAAGATTTTTTTTTAAAGTGAGGCTGCTGTCTATGACTGTACAGTTGTTCATTCATGAACCCCTTATTATACTCCCAGTATTTTTAAGTATGAAATGTGGGGCAGTATATTACTTTAGGATAAGGATATCCCTTTATGGAATTTTCTATCATAGGGTATTAAGACCCCAGTTAGTTTAGATACAGCTCCTACCTGATAACCAGGGATCCTGGTTTTCTCAGATGAAAGAATGGCAAATTCTCTGATAAAACCACCCCAAATCCATGATGAAAATGAAACACCATTTTATACACACACACACACACACACACACACACACACACACACACATATCTAGAGAGAGAAAGAAAGAGAGAGAAATCAGTTGGGCAA